TCATTCAAATGTCTCTAGTGAAGGTGTATGGAGTTTAAAAACACAATGGAGCACTTGTATTACCTCATCACATCAAGAGGTGGAACAGAGCATTTTCTGTTTGAGAGAAGAACTCAAACGCCTAAATATGCAGGGTTTGAGTGTTTAACAAGTGTGAATGAAACAAAACACAACTTCAGGTATGTTTGTAATAAGCAAACAACATTATAACAGAACAGAAAACAGAGCAATATAGGTCCTTTAAAAAGTTACTCTTAAGTAAATATAACTGAGTATTTACTTTCCTTATATCTACTTACAAAGCTTGCCGACATCACAGTCCATCATTAAATAAGAGTAATTAACAGTAGGTGCCACAGCCTATCATCAAATTCAATACCATCTTGTCAAACCACTTAGCGTCTTCTTTTGATTTCGTTCTTGTATTACAATCTCTTAAGAAGGGCTGCCAACCGAATCACCAGCGCATTGTCCACTCTGCCAAGTCCTTATTTCATCACTGCTTTTCTATTCTTTACAGTGACTAATGAGCCACAACACAAAGGTAGACTGTTTTAATAAGACATGAGTCACGAGTCAGGTGGTACGATCTACAACCAAAAATATTTACAATAGTAGCAAGAATTGTGTTGTATTCTGTTGCGTAACATATAATTTAAAGGGCCTGTATTACGCTGTTTTCTGATCTATGGTATAATGTTGTTTCCTCATCACAAACATATCTGGAGTTGTGTTTTGTTTCATTCACATGGTTAACACACAAACTCTGCATAATTAAGCTGAGTTAGTCTCTCAAACTGAAAACACTTTGTTCCACCTTGTGATATCATGTGGTCATTGGGGTATGCAAAAATATCAAAATATCAATATCGTTTAATGTGATGATACAGTATCGATATCATATGGAGTATTTTTTGTTTTAATATTTCACTAAATTATTTTGTTACAGCGCTACAGTTTTGTTGCTTGTTTAAAGGAAGGAAACTCATTTATGCATCACATTTGACATTTTCACTGTTTCATATTAACTTTGCGCAAGAAGTGGTTTAACAAAGACTTTGAGTATCACAGTCACGATTTAGCCTTTATTTTTACTGAACCGCATCGAATCGATTTGAAATATACCGTATAAAATCGAAAGTGTGCTGTATCAAGATATGTATCATATCGTGGCCTATGTATCGAGGTATGTATCATATCGGCAATTTCTTAATGATACCCAGCCCTAATGGTAATACAGGAAGAGCTCTAATGTGTTTTTAAACTCAATACACCTTCACTAGAATCATTTGGATGATTTCAGACTAAGAACTGGCAATCTCTACTAAACAAAATGAAAAAGGTACAGTAGCTATTCACTAAAACTACCACTACATGACATCACAAGGTGGAACAGAGCATTCTGAGTTTTATAAACAGACTAATAATAAAGGATTACTCAAACATGTGTGAATGAAACAAAATACAACTCCAGGTATATTTTTGATGAGGTAACAGCATCAGAACATGGCTTACAAGAGTCAATTTTACGTAATATAGGATTTAGTATTTTGATGTAACAGTATTCTAAACTTGAGTAATAGTTTCCATTGTGAGTAAACTTAAGAGGGACAAAAGCTTTATGCTGAGAACAATGACTTGAACATTTGTGTTTCTTGCGCCTCTAGTTCAGATATGATTTAGAAATGTAGTGTTATCCTTTGAAACAACTACATTTTGTGCATTATTTAATTAATATTTTGTCCTTCCAATTACATGAACTGTAAATTATAAATCAGACAGCTACTCTTACTTGAATAATAGTCTCCCCAGGTACTTTTTACTATAACTTTATCCTGAGTTAGCAATCCTCTTGAGTACAATTTGTGACTATTCTACTCTCCTCTGGGTATCATTTTTGCAATACTGAAGCAGCTTTGGTTCTCCAGTGCTAGTCCTGCCAATAGGGGTGTCAAAAATATTGAAAAACAAATACCAGTCTCGAAAACTACTATCGAAATTAGACACTCATTTGAGCAGGTATCAGTACTGAAAAAATAACATTCACGGGGCAGAAATGAACCTTTCCTGAATAGTTTTAGAATGATCTTGAGCTGTATCAGAACAAATATAAGAGCACATAGACTAATGTACACCTATGGACCACTATGGAACCTACCTGGACCACTGGGGGATTACATATAAGACCGCATGGGAATAGAAAAAAAAGAACTGTGATTAAATATTGAAAATCGCATTCTATTGTCTAAAGAAAGAGTTTTTTTTTTTTTATTATTAGACTTACTCACAGTGGGAAGAGTGACCAACATTTTTACTCAAAAAAGACTATGGTACTATTACATCAATAAAATAAATAGCATAGTAAAAGTATGTTGCTGTTGTACTCTGAAAAGTACAATTTCTACTCAGCTCAATTAAGAGTACTTGCTTATATCTAATTACAAGGCTAGACAAGATCACAATCATCATTAAATAACAGTAATTAAAGATCCTATATTACGCAAAATTCTTGTGAGTTCAGGTTTAACTTGTGTTATAATGTTGTTACCTCATCGAAAACATACCTGAAGTTGTGTTTTGTTTCATTCACACATGTTTGAGTAACCCTGGTTTATTAGTCTGTCTACACCTCAAAAATGAAAGTGCTCTGTTCCACCTTGTGATGTCATGATGAAGCGGTAGATTTCAAATTAACTGCTACCTTTTGTAACCTTTAGTTCAGATTGGCAATTCAACGACTCTAGTAGTGAAGGTGTATGGAGTTTAAAACGCAATGGAGCACTTGTATTACCTCATGACATCACAAGGTGGAGCTGAGTGTTTTCTGTTTGAGAGAAGAACTCAGCCTAAATATGCAGGATTTGTGTGTTCAAAGAATCTGTATTGAGCAGCAAGTCTAATCCTTAGTATAGAAACTGAGTGAAATTTTCGTGACAACACTAATTAAATGTGCAATAATAATAAATAGAGTCCAAAATTGTACAAACATTGGCTCAGATTGGTCCCATATGTGACAGGTGCTCCAGTATTGACGTAACACCAGCGCACATGTTCTGGCTCAGGTCCAAGCTGGAGAAATACTGGACAATTTGTATAGCATTTATTTAAAGAGGAAAAGATGAGAGCACACTGAAAGCTATCTGTATACGCTTTTAAAATGGTGTGTTTGAATAGAGGAAGTTGTCAAAACAGATTAAAGGGCCGATAATTACAGGAGTTGTGTTTTGTTTCATTCACTCATGTTTTAAATCCTGCACATTTAGGCTGAGTTCTCTTCACACACAAAAAACATCACCTTGGAACCTTGTAATAATACTATGTGGTAATGTGGTAATACAGGAAGTGTTACTCTGTGTTTTTAAACTCCATACATCTTCACCAAAATCATTTCAGTGCTGGAATTGCCCATCTGAACTAAAGGTAAAAGGTAAACCATGAATACTCAGACATGTGTGAATGAAACAAAACACATCTCCAGAACTCCAGATATATTTTTAAGGAGGTAACAACATTACAACATGGTTTAAAGCTCACAAGAGTAAATTTTGCATAATATAGGACATTTAAATGATCAATATAGAGTGTAAGGTTTGAAATGTATTGGATTTGGGTAGCCAATTTTTACTTTCAATAGGTAATGAAATTCTAGCATTTTTAGCATTTTAGCTTTTTATTGGTCTATTTAGTGCAGGGGTCTCCAACCTTTTCCTCCAGTGAGCTACTTTTACAAAACAAAAATACCAGAGAGCTACTCATTTTAGTGGCTGCAAGAAACTGAGACGACTGTACCCAAAGAGGGCAAGTCTTTGGGTACAGTTAGATGCTTATAAAACAGGGGTCTTGAACCTTTTTCCTTGGATGAGCTACACCTTTACAACACAAAAATTCCACAAAGGCTACTCATTTTAGCGATCACAAGAAATAAAGTATACATAAGAACCATAGCAAAACCTAGATGAAGTACAGTTAGACAAAACAACATAAACCATTATTTATTTATGAGTGCACAAAGTCAGGCATCAAAATGATAGGTTTATAATGATAATAATAATAACAGGCATTTAATTCATCAAGTTTTAGTTATTCAGAACAATACGTGTAATTCAGAAATCCTTTGGCGAGCTACTTGGAAGAGGGTGGAGAGGTACAGGTTGGAGACCCCTGATTTAGTGACATGTCATCATTTACATAGTGGATAACTGATCTTAAACTGACATTTATTTATTGTGTTAATACTCTGTACTTAATATTGCTATATACAGCCTGTTGTATGACTAGAGATGGAAATGAACCAATGGATCTATCTAGTAAAAAAATCAATGTTTGTCTATTTTATTTGTATTTGTTTATAAAGGACTTTGCCTTGGATGATCTCTCTAAGCCTTTGGATAATATTGCACATTCAGTTTCACAATATGAAGCTTATTATGGCATTTTAAAGCTTCTTAATAGTCTAAATTATGAACATTAATGTAACAAAATTCATACTGTCTGTGGGTATAGCAAGTTTTAGATTTAAACATACTCCTTAATTATTGAGTATTGATATAAAATATAAAATGAATGGTACTTCAATTGTACTAGAGATAAAGTGACTACAATCTAAAGTATTAATAGATCTGTCTGATAATATTACTTCAGAATTTATTACAGTGCCATAATAGAATACTAGAACACACATAACCTAATCCAGAGCATAGCCTACTTTATATGGGGATTAAGTATTACTACAATCAAAACATAAATGTCTTTTTTCTTTCTCTAAAAATATTAAAGAATTGTAACTAAACCATGAAGGGAATCCTAATACAACACATTGTAAACCCAATCCGATACAGTTTTCTGTTGGAAATTAGCCATAAAGTAGACATATATAGCTTTTTTATGGGTTTAAAGTTCTCTTATCACAATCCGGCAAGTAGATACGGGCTATTTGTAATTCATGCTGTAACAAAGCGAATTTAAACAGAAAAAAAAAAAAAATAGACAATCTAACTTACCTTGATCACGTAAAATGTTGAAACCTCAGTAAATATCCGCTTGCATGTGGACTTTGAACCGCCGTACGGACAAACACACAGCTCACAGCCGCTCTCGGTGACTGATACTCGGTGATACTGGCTCACACTCACCGCTCTTCCCCCGGTCACAGGTGGCCCTCCTCCCGCCGACAGACACCTCCTCCTCGGCCCGCCTCCCGAGCCCTTCGCCCTCCTTCCTCGTCTTCTCCGCGCTCGGAAAACATTGAACCATGCGCGGAAACGGGTCAGGGGGTGTTGGATTTCGGGCAGAAGAAGTGGAGCGGACGGGGTAGCGCACCTGGATCACTTTCCTCGGGTAAATCCGGAGCTCAAACCTGCGCAGAGTGGAGCACAGGGAAGGGACCCTCTGTGCGTAAAAGCGACGTAAGCGGAGAGCACCTGTTCACCGAGGAGAGCGCGGGGACGCAGTGACATCTAGTGGACGAAAGGAGAATTGTGTTACAGCAGTGAAATGAAGGCAGATTCTAAATGAAGCCCAAAAAACTTCATCAGTAATAAAATATGAGCCTATTTATTTTACTATTGCCATTAAATATTATTTGCATCTATTATAATATTGTTTCATTTTGAAGTACACTGTAAATAAGCCAGCCCATGTCAACACAACATAAAATACTTGAGTTAACAAGTTGCCTTCATTTTTTTAAAAGTTCATTTTGTTAAGTTTATTAAGTTAATTTAAAACATCTATATATAGTTTTATTTTTGTAACTAATTATTATTATTATTATTAGTAGTAGTAGTAGTAGTATGCATCAGTTTTATATAGCTCTCTGGACACTCAAAGACGCTTTACAGAGATTCATTTACTCATTCACTCCATACCTGGTGGTGGTAAGCCACTATTGTAGCCACAGCTGCCCTGGAGCAGACTGACAGAAGCAAGGCTGCTAATCTGTGACATCAGCTGATCACCACCATCACTCACACACACATCACTTTCATACATCACTTTCATACATCACTTTCATACTAGGCAATGTGGATAAAGTGTCTTGCCTAAGGACACAACAACAATTTTTGCAACTGGCACCCCACTGTGGCAACTGATTTTCCCAGCAGTCTCCTGTCCAAGTACTAACCAGGCCTTGCTTAGCTTCTGAGATCTGACGGGATCGGGCTTTCAAAAGCTGGTATGGCCACACACCATGTAATGCAAGTTGAATTTCTGATGATACGCAATAAAAAAGTAGTTCTGTCCTTCAAAATATATATTTATTTTTTATATTCAGACGAATGTAACATTAATTGCAGTAAGTTCACCTGCATAAACTGCATGGGCATTCATAGAAAACCCATTAACCAGAGAAACTACTATTTATTATATTTATTTATTTATGTTGGATGCCCTTCTTCTTACAACACATTAAATTGACTGGGGTGGGCAATGTGGGGTGATAGTGCTGTGTGAATGTGTGAACCGGTAACCCACTGGTTCCCTTATAACAAGCCCAACTTCACCTCTCCAGTCTCACAATATTGTCACAGAAAGAACGTTCCCAGTTTATCAAATGATGTATGGACTTTTTGGTTTTGTTTATTTGTTTACATTTTTTTTCAGTATTGAACAGGTTTTCATTAAATTCACTTCATTACATTTCACACATCAATAGTAAAAGCATGGACTATCTTTTTTCTATTTCCTCTGAGCCCCTGCAGGTCTCCACAGTCAAAACAGATTACAATGGTGTTTTGTGGTTTTCAAAATGGCGTCTGCATCTTCACATTTTCACTCCTATAATTCCAGAACTGAATTATGAATGCATGTATCTATTATTCATATGGTCGATCAACTTTGGAGAGCTGTGGTAGCGTCCAGTGGAGCCATTATTATTAAAAGTTTTGTTCAACCTCCAACATCAATGTCACTGGAGAGTTACCATAGCAACAGTATAGAGGTTTTAATGTATTTTTAATATATATTTTTTTGACAGCCAGTGAAAACATTGTCTGCCTAATGACTTTTCCTTTAATTATTTTCAGGTACATCCGTGCAGTGACAAGGTTTTAAATTACAAATATTACATTGATAAATGAGTTAACAGTTTTCTCATCTGCCACCTGTGGAGATAGGGGAGAGGATTAATGGCATGATCGAGAATACAAGGCGGTGAGAAGACAGGATTAGAAGAAATAAAGATGACTTTATATTTGGTAGAAAAGGTTAGACTGTTTGAGACTACAGAACTCCACTATTATTTGTACTGACACCACTAACAAATATGAGCAAAGGAGGGAGATTAAAATGGTTTGTTTCAAAGGGTGCATATTTTTCTTTTGCATTAATGCTTCTTCTGATCTCTGTTATGTTTTTTCATCAAAAACCTGTCCAGAAAAAAACTGTTGTGTTTTGGTTCATTCGCACATATTTAACACGCAGATCCTGCACATTTAGGCTTCTCTCAAAAAGAAAACACTCTAATTTCAGCTCTGAAATTGACCCTCTCCACTGAGCTAAGGGTAAAAGGTAGTTGTTCACATGAAAAAGACTTAATGACATCACAAGATAGAACAGAGCATTTTGAACTTTGGAGATGTAAACAGACTAATAATAAAGGATTACTCAAACATGTGTGAATGAAAAAAGCATAACTCCAGATATGTTTCTGATGAAGAAACATTATAACATGACTTAAAGCCAGAGGTGGGACCAAGTCGTAGTTTTGCTAGTCTCAAGTAAGTCTCAAGTCTTTGACCTCAAGTCCAAGTCAAGTCCCAAGTCAAAGACAGGCAAATCCAAGTCAAGTCTCGAGTCACTGGCTTATAAGTCCAAGTCAAGTCCAAGTTGTCTGCTTTAAGCTTCAAGCAATTTCAAGTCTTTAAACCAAAATACCAATTAGAGCTTAGACAGCTTTTATATATGAATATTTATATAAGAGTTGTAGAAATGCAATTTTTTCCTTTTTAAATGTCTTGAAAATATCTTAGTGTGAATCATTAGTCAGAAAAGAAAGAATTCAAATTTAAAAGTGCTAAATAACAGTTATTTTGCCATATACTTCTCTGTAGTTTCCTCTGATTTACTGTATTGTGCTGTACATTACTGTATAGTACTGTATCAGGTCCCAAGTCACTGACCTTCAAGTCGAGTCCCAAGTCTTAGTCCACTTTATCAAGTCAAGCCTCAAGTCCTAAATATATTGGCTCTAGTCTGACTCGAATCCAAGTCACGACTTGCAAGTCCCCACCTTTGCTTAAAGCTCACTAGAGTCAATTTTGCAAAATATTTGGACCTTTACATTTTTGACTAATAATTTAATATAATAATGTAAAACCATGTAGGCCTATGCGTCACAGTAAAGTTTTCCTTTTAATTTCACAAAAATATGAATTTATAAGGTTTCCCTGTGAGTTCATGTTGTTTTACACTTTCATTTTTTTTAAATTTTACTGTTACATTTCCAAGCATTTTATAGTCTTTTCAAACTTCAAATAGATTTCTGGGTAGATGAAATAAATCAAACTCACATTCTTCTACTACTTTGTTCCTCTACTACACTTTCGTCTACTACTGTAAATTACTAAATATAGTAGTTGTAGTAATGTAGATGTAGTAGTAGCTTTAGTAGTTGTAGTAGTTATAGTGGTTGTTGTAGTAGTTATAGTGGTTATTGTAGTAGTTGTAGTAGTAGTAGTAATAGTAATAGTAATGGTAGTGGTAATGGTAGTAGTGGTAGTAGTAGTAATAGTAATAGTAGTAGTAGTAGTAGTAATAGTAATAGTAATAGTAGTAGTAGTAGTAGTAGTTGTAGTTGTAGTTGTAGTTGTAGTTGTAGCTGTAGCTGTAGCTGTAGCTGTAGCTGTTGTAGTAGTAGTAGTAGTAGTAGTAGTAGTTGTAGTTGTAGCTGTTGTAGTAGTAGTAGTAGTAGTAATAATCAAAACACAACACAACTTAGTACAAATTATTTTATTGTAAATGCTTCAAATTCTACATGAGTGGTTATTTTTACTGTCTTGACAAAAGGGCTAAAGAAAAAAGTAACAAAAATAAATAAATTTGTGTTAATGAAGATATGCTTGAAGTGGAGTTTTTGCATTGTAGACCTGATCCGGGCCTAGTGCAACCTGTAGCTAGAAAAATAAAGGCGTTGGTTGACATCTGGCTAGCCTTCTTACACATATTCACATGAAATCGACAAAATATTCAAAATCCATACTGCATGATATGTGTTTCTGTGGCGAATCCATCGTAAGGTAGTAGCGTGTTGGCGACGCGTGCTAGCTTTTGCGATATCATGGACCACAGAGCATAAAACGTACTCAAAACTATTTATTTCGCTAACATTATTTTCGATTTCAGATTATTACGCTACAACGGTGGCAGTCACAATTTATTCTGTACACCTCTAGTGCAGCTATAACGAGGCACAGTTTCTCAAATTGAAGGTGCGCTGTGTAACTTTTCGGTTGGGGGTCCGTTGCCATCTTGTTTCTATGGATACGTCAATGCTTTACCTCTACTTTACATTTATATAATGACAGGTGGTTTTATAGCTCAACATTACCTAGAAAAACAGGCATTCTGACTATAAATGGGATCGCCACTCCACAGAGCTGACCTGTAACTTGGCCTGATTTGGTCTCCATGATGATAGAAAATTTTAATGCCATATTGTGAAACATTTCAGACAAAGCAATGGCATTTCGGTGGAGAAAAGCAGGTGACGGAACTTCCACCAGAAAATGTACAAAATGCAGCTTCAAAGATACACTGTGTAACTTTTTTTTTCTGATGGAAGGTCATCTGAAATGTCCCATTGTATGACGATTAACATCTATCTCCATGGTGACAAGCAGGTTATACTCCTGCGCCAAATTACAGGTCAGATCTGTGGAGAAGTGACCCTGCTCTCAGTAAGAATGCATGTTATTCAAGACAGTAAAATAATTAAATTTAAAAAAGGCAAGTTATAAAAGTTTAATGCAATACTGTGGAACATTTCAGCCAAAGCAATGATATCCCAATGGAGTAAAACAAGCAATGGACCATTCACCAGAAAAGTTACACAATGCACTTTAAACAAAAAATACAAAAAATAAAAATTACCAAAACAATAGCCCCTTCAGATTGTCATATTATTATTTCCATTTTCATCCCTCACTCATTCATCACATGCACTACAGGTCTATAAAAACGCGCTACCATGAAAATACTGCTTGTTCGTCCCAACATCTTTTGCTTGTTTAGGAAATATAAAGTTTCTGACGATTACAAAAACAGTGGAGTCGTGAAATAGTGTTGTACAGACAAGAAAGTGCCAGTTGGGCTCAAAAGTCCACGTTTATCCTTCATAAATCCATTGTCGTCTTCATTTGTGGAATGCAGTCTGTTAAAGCGTGTTTGGGTTGGAGTTTTTGTGTATATTTCGGATAGTTTTTGTCAGTAGGAATGTACAGGCTTGTAGGTGCTTCAGGCCAGGCTCCTCTGTCTTGGTTTTATCCTGGGGTAGAGCTGTAAGAATAAAAGAAAAGTTGGTGTTTTAGATTTCGTGGGAATGACGAAAGCTTAAAGGTGTGCATAATTTTTGACTGGAAAACAAAAATATGCTTGAGACAAAGAATGCCTTAATGAGTAAAATCAAAGGATAAAAACTGAGTGATGCAGTTTAATTAAGATCATTTATGCATTATTTGATTCAATAGTAATAGCCAGTTTCAGTTAAAGAGCCCATACATATTACGATATTTTCTGATCTATACTATAACGTTTCCTCACCACAAACATACTTGGAGTTGTGTTTTGTTTCATGTGCGCATGTTTAACACAAACTCTGCATATTTAGGCTGCAAATACTATGTTCCACCTTGTGATGTCATGTGGTAATACAGGAAGTGCTCCACTGTGTTTTTAAACTCCAAACACCTTCACTAGAATCATTTAAATCATAGAAAATTTCAGGTAAAAAGTAGCTGTTAACTTAAAAACTACATTTTCATGACATCACAAGGTGGAACAGAGTGTTTTGAGCTTTGGAGATGTAGACAGACTCATATTAAAGGGTTATAAAAACGTGTGAAAGAAACAAAACGCTCCAGGTATGTTTTGAGGAGGTAACATTCTAACAAGAGTCAGTTTTGTGTAATATAAGACCTTTAACTTATTTAAAATGGCAAAAAATGTAAAAGTAATTTGTTTACATTTGATTACAGGTCATTTTATAATAAACCCAAAAGGGCTCTCTATGATATAATGTGTCTAATGGCATAATAAGGCATGGCATCATAAGTTAATTTGTGATTGTCTAATTAGGTTAATTTGGTCTTCTGGTAATTTATTTTCATTTTTCATACGAAGTTTTTTTTTTTTTTTTATACCCGACAGTTTCAACTATTCACTAGCAGTCTTCCTCAGAATGATCTTATGATGATCACTCTGTGGAAGACAAACTAAAACAAACTAAACCTTGGTCTGAAAAATTCTAAAAAGGATCTAATTATAAAAAAAATTATTTGTGATTGTATATAAAGAAACTGATTCTATGTACATACCCCCAGTAGGTTGCGTGGGATGTAGCCCTCGTGGTCGCCCATTCGTGCCCACCACCACTCGATCTCGTCCTCATCCTCTCTGCGCAGGATGGTCATACAGTCTCCCTCTCTGAACGACAGCTCGTCTGGGTTCTCACTGCTGTAGTCCCACAGACCGTACACCACGCCTCGGTTCATGATGCCCATCTTCTCCTGAACACCTGCACACAAAGGAGAAATACTATAAGTCAGCTCTGCACAAATCAACTTCGAATGAACAGACTTAATGTTGTGAGCTGAGGTGGGTAAAATAGCTGGAAAATGTACTTAAGTATGAAAACTGTGTGGAAAAATCATAATCCTATATTATGCTTGTTTGCTTCTATACTTTGCTGTTAGTCCTCAGTTACCTCAGTTATTCCTCACTTACGTTAAACATTCTGAGCATCCTAATTATTCACAGGGATGACTTTATAAGCACTTTTGACAACTCTAAGAGACCTGTGCAGAGATTTTGAGGGTAACGCTAACAACTAGCAAGCTAAAGTGCACTTCCTGATTATTGGACAATAAAATGTTTTCTAATTAGATGCAGACAGTGCGCCACTGACTTATTTTGACCTGAAGAGCTGTTTATACCATACTAGTATATCTGTACTGGGGCAAGACATATTTTGTTCAAATACAAGAGGAAAAATCCAGTACAGGGCCTTTAAAAACACAGCTGGAGTTTTATTTTGATTAACTCATGCTTGATCATAAAAAGCCAGTAAAATTCATAATATATCATATGTATGACCTTAAGGTAGAAGTAAAAAGTACACTAAATTTAAAAAAGGATTAGGAAATAATACAGTCTGCCTTATTTATGACTTTATATAAAATGGTACATAAAGTGCAAAATAGTTTCTCAAAACTAAATTATATGATTAAGTACAAGACACACAAAAGTCTGTGTAATAAAAGTAAGATTTAGACCTTACTTTTCTTGTATTTTTTATTTTGCTTCATGAATTTAAGATGGATATAAAATAATCTCACATACATCAATATGAATGGAAAGGAGCAGAAAGAAGCATAAACTTGTAATATTTACCCCTTTTCACAAAGCTGACTTCAAATAGGAGTTACTGTCCACAAATATTCAAGTAAACATACAACTATTAAAAAACTATACTACATAAAACTACTCCTAATAGTTACATGTGTGAAAACAACATTACTAATAAATATATTTGAGTATATATGACTTAGAACTAGCCCCCTGTAACTATGAACAAATAAAATCACATGTTTCTCGTACTGACCGTAGAGGAACTGGGAGCACTGTGTGTAGCCCTCCTCCATCTCCTCACACTTGTCAGCTGCTGTCTGCATGTCACTGTAGGTCATGGCGAAAACAGCAGCTCCAGACTCCACCAGGAACTTGCATACCTGCACGTTATTACAGGAGGCCGCACAGTGAAGGGGCGTCCTGGGACAGAGAAGGGGGGAAAAATGTGATATAAGTTAATAATGTTATGACAAACTGAATAGAAATTTTCCTATCTTTGTAGTTTAAGTGAAAGTTCAGAATGCTATCCGGTCTCCCTGATTTCAGAGAGCGTAATTGACAGGTGGATTAACCAACCATAGACTCATGCTCAATTTGCGTCAAAAACAAACATAGCTGCTTACACGTAAACAAGGAGAAGAAACTAATTTAAAGACTGAGAAACAGCATGGATTTTTCTCAGAATCAACAATCAAAACACCACACTAGTGGATTCAAACAGAATGTAGAAGTGACTGTCTGGTCAGGCAAGGTTCTATATATAGTTGGAGGTTGAAAATGATGAAAATAAACTTGTTTTATGAATGATTTCCAATTGATATAAGGCTAAAAACTCAATGGGAATATAGCTGCTTTTAACTTTTGAATAGAGATTTTTTTTTTTTTTACACAGAAAACAGCAGTTAACCAAATTAAAATATATGTATGAGAAATAAAAAAAATAAAAAAAAAAGTGCCCAAAAAGTCCTGTTCCGGCCATCTGTATACTAAAATTATAGTACTTGTATTTGAGAGAGGAAAAGCACTAAAAATATCTCATTATATTAAGTTAATGTTACAATACAGGTGTATTTTTACAATACAGAATAGTTGACAGGACATTGGGAATAATGAATAACAGATGTAAACAGAAGAGTCCAACCCACCATCCATCACTGTCGGCCGCATTGACATTGACCCCAAACTGAACCAGGAACTTGACGATCTCAGTGTGACCTGCACAGACGGCGTTGTGTAGAGCTGTGATGCCCTCATCATTGGGCTGGCTGGGATCCTCCACCTGAGAAACAAAAGATTATAGGAGATTAATCTAATAATTTCAGCTAATTGCCAACAGATTTTTCAATAGACTAAATGTCCATTGTAAAATAGAGAATATTTAAACAGCTATTTACACTGATAGTATAGTAAATAACTTTCTGGAGATGGAAAGTCACCTGCATGAGTCCACGGAAATACAACCATACTTGGAACATTTTCCATTGGCACAGATCCATTTTATGCCATACTGTGGAAAATTATAGCTAAAGCAACTCCATGGAAACAAGCAGGATTGCACTTGCTTAAGGACACATGTATTTTTAGTGCAATAAACATATATATATATATAAACTGTATAAATATAATACTGTGGCCATAGACTGTATAAAGAAGTGGACTAAGGGAGTGTGACATCACCCATAGTGTTTTGGCTCCAGACATTGAAGCTTGTTGAGGCTAATTGTTATAGGAGCGAACCTGTAGGAGAGTTCTATATTAGGAAAAGAAATTGATTTATTGTGACAATAGCAAAATAAAAACACCAGGATCATGTAGAGTGGATTTTTAATCATTTAATAATAATTTTTAATAATTATTTTAAGACCAAAATGAGCAGCCTGACACAGACAGGAGTGGCATTTTTCAATACAAAGCCATTTGGAGCCGAAGTTGATGGAGCCAGAGGTGCGCCCATGTTCACTTCATTCACTTCCTATTTGGAATGTGACGACTAGGAGTTTAGCTATGTCCATTTATATATATATGGTCTATTATTGTGCCGTGAAATCAAACTCTACCGAAGGGAAGCTTAAAAATTAAAAGAATATTGACCCAAAATGAATAAATAAACAAGACCGGCAAAGTTTACTCTTTTTAAGACACTGCCTTAAGGAGAGCATCACTTTGGTCATGGCCACGTTTGATTGTGTGAGCCAAAGCACAGAACCACAAAACCACCAACTTTAAGCACAGCATCCAAATATTGTACAACAGATACCTGGCTGCAAATTCTGATTCAAATTCTAGGACATAAATGCAAACTATTGGATAAAAACAAACTTACTTACATCCCTTTTGGCTATTGGACTTTAGTTAATGTTTGACTGCCCAGTGTCTTTTTCTTTTTTGTGTGTGTTTGGAGTGTGGAGAGAGGGGTGGAGTGTGGGAGGGTTTTGTTTCTATCTTTATAAATGTATTAAAAAAAACAATACAAAACAAAAAAACTTACTTCGTAGATGATTCTCTGGACCAGGTCAAACTCTCCCTCCAGTGAAGAGTCCAGCAGCAGGGCCAGAGGGTTAAATTTGACCCTCATGGCGTGATCTATGCGCTCAGATCCTGGTTTCCGCAGGTTGGTCCTCTTTCCCTGGAAACATAACTATGATTAGGAAAATTGAACAGCTGAAAGGTCTGGCCAGCTCCAATCTACTCTAAACCTGCCCAGAGGAGGGAGGTAGTATTTTTCCAATAAATATTCCACTGATAATCTTCTTAATAGATCACGCTGTACCTAACAAGTATTTCCACCAAAACAACACAAAAACAGCTTTACAAACCCGAGGTGAGAGAGCAAAGAGGAGATCAGCTTAGAGGAAAAAGGAGCTATTTTTCCACTCAAACAATAGGGATACTTCACAAGATTATTAAATTATATAATATTAGGGCAGGTCACCAGAAGACCTAGTTATTTTAATGCCAAAGGGCAGAATCTACTTTTGGGACTTCAATAGTTTTAGAATAAATTATACTACACAATGATGAAATTTAAATCAAGATGGTGATCTGAAAATGAAAAACTTTGCATTAAATACTATTTTTGGTATTATTATTCTAGTATCTAACGTGGATTAGCTGCCAGTACACTAAATCTGAATAGATAAGAAGAATCTATAGTTCCAATAGCTGGAAAAGGACTTTGAATGTATAATATTAGATTGGATATCTCATGTATCAGGTATAAAAAAATAAAATATTCTCTATAATATATTTTTTATACAATTTCAGATTTAAAAAAAAATTAAATTGTGATGAAATCTGCATTATTTTTGTGTGCACTGTGACAATATAATACATATACAATACAATTTGATGAAGTATAAGTATGTGGTGTTCCTTTTAACCTGGTATACTTTATTTATTAGTTTGCCAAATTATAATATACATAGTTACCACAACTCAATAATAATTCCTCATCTATCATTTTCAATAATTTCTCATTGGCATAACCTTGTATCATAAAAGTGCACTGTGTACCATTTTTAGTTGAGGATCTGCCACCTGCTTGTCTCTATGGAAATGTTGTTGCTTTGTCTGGAATGTTTCACAGTATAGATTATACTTATTTATCACAAGTAGCGGTGTGTAAAAATATCGAAATATTGATATATCATATCACCTAATGTGATGATACAGTACTGATATCATGGGCTGCTGTACCGCTATATCACCAAGAGTATTTTTTTGTATATTTTACTCAATTATTTTGTTACAGCGCTACAGTTTTGTTGTTTGTTTAGTGGAAGGAAACTCATTTATGCAACACATTTGACATATTCACCGTTTTGAAGAGTAAAATGGGTGTGTTTCATATGAACTTTGCACAAGAAGTGATTAAACAAAGACTTCTAGTTCATATTAATTATTTATCACCGTATTAAATCGATTTGAAATATATCGTATTGAATCAAAAGTGCACTGTATCACGATATGTATCATATTGTGGCCTATGTATTGAGGTATGTATCATACTGGCAACTTTGTAATGATACACAGCCCTAATCACAGTTACAGAAAGACAGTTACAGCACTATCCTACATTACAGTTCAGGTCTGTGGAGAGACGGTCCTATTCACAGAAGAAACTATTGTATTTCTGAGCAATAGAAACACGTATAAGGAATAAAGGCAGGTAGTGGACCCTTCACCCATAAAGTTGCGCAGTACACCTTTAATTATTATAATAAAGTTGATATGATTCATACCGGTGGCAGAGTGACTTGACCCGTGACCTCTGGTGCCTTCATGCTCTCCTCATCCTGCTCAGCGCCGCTTGGGTACGGTGGGGGTGGGTACGGTGGAAACTCCTCTGGGAAGCCCTCTGGAGGCGGAGGAGGGGGCATACTGGGCACCTGCACATGTATCACCTCCCCACCAGCAGTGGGCGGCGGAGGGGGGAACACCATATCATCTGGCCTGGGGGCAGGGTGACTCGGCGGAGGCGGTGGCACTATCTCCTCACTTCCTATTACTACTACCGAAGGCTGATTGCTGATTGGTTCTGGTTGCACCACTACAGGTTCAGTGGGCGGGACTTCTTCGGGTTGTTCTGATTGGCTAGTGTCATTCGTCACTGGAACTGTGTTTTCAGGAACCTTTTCTGGGTCTAGCGCAAATGCCGGAGTGGTTGGAGTAACTGTAGTCTCCATCGCGGCTAAAGTGGTCTTCTGGTAGAGCAGTTTTTGGATGTTAGGTCCAGCTGGTCCTTCAGGTTCAGTGATGGAGCTGCGTTTTTTCAAAGGTCTGGGGGCGTTGTAGAGTTTTTTACGCAGGGCTTCGAGGTCGCCATCGCTCTGGTGACGGTAGGGGTTGGAGATGAAGGGGAGGAGCTTGGTGGGGCTGAGGGGGCGGGGGATGCGTTCGGTCTCGGGGTTGGCGGGTGTCTGGGAGGAGGCGGGGCTGTTGGCGTGGTCCACTTCGTTCTCCGTGGGGGAGCGGCGGTCCAGGTATGGGTTCTCAGGGTGCTGCTGGGAGCTGATGACAGGTTTGCCGTACACTACAGAGAGAGGACAGAAATGTAAAGGTTAAAGGTGCACTGTGTAACTTTTCTGGTAGAGGGTTTGCACAATGGAGATGGTATTGTTTTGCCTGATTATTCCACAGTACGGAAACAGACTTGGTCATCACAATGGAGACAGGTTAATGGTCAAATCCATGGAGATATAAGCCTGCACATGGAATGAATTTTTGTTTTTTAAGGTATATTTGAGCTATAAAACACTTGTAATTGAAGCAAGTGCAAGGGAGGTATGTTTAATGCCCAATTATTGTGGAACATTCCAGACAATGAAATAACATCACCATAGAGACACGCTGGTGGCAAACAGGACCATGGACTCGTATGATCACAAGTTCCTGAAAATGAGCTGGATTTTTTTCTTATGTTTTCAGTATTTTTTTCACAGACTAATGTGTAAAAATGGAAATAATATGGCTGTATTTGTACACAAACATGAAACAAATAATTTTATTTACTACATTTTTACAAAAGTGAAAAATTAATTAGTGATCTTTACTCAAAGGTGCATTGTGTAACTTTTCTGGTGAAGGGTCCATTAAATGCTTTTCTAAATGGAGCTGTCATTGCTTTGTCTGGAATGTTCCACAGTATGGCAATAAAACTTCATGGATCTTCATGATAGGTATATATTTGAGCTATAAAACCACCTGTAATTGAATAAATGTAAGCTAGAGCTGTTTAATGTCAACTGTGGAACATTTCCAGGCAGAGCAATGACATCTTCTTAGAAACAAACATGTGACTGAGCTCCAACCATAAATGACATAGTTCAGCTTTAAGAAAAATTTGTGGGCATTGCTATGGAGTTTATAAGCTAAATATATCAAAAAATCATAATACCAGATGAAGGTATTATAGGTATTTTCCATTGGCTGGTACATGAAAAACAGAGGGCCTAGAACTCAAGTCAATCTGGTGCTCCAATCATTGAACTATAATCACCTTTCTACCACATTAACACCCCAAGCACACGCCCAAACACACACTTACTGCTCGTGAAACCATTGGTGCGGCTCTGCGCCCGGTTTAGCGCCCCCTGGATGCCCGACTGCTGCGTGTACATGGAGTAGATGGAGCTGGCATCGAGGGTCTTTGGCTTGCCCATCCTGCTGTCCTTGGGGAGCTCCGGGGTGAAGGGGCGGACCGTGGCCGCTGGAGGTGGGTCCTGTTTGGAAGGGAGGGGCAGGGTCTGGCTCTGAGCGGGGGGCAAGGGGGAGCGGCCGGGGCCTGCGTGCGAGGGCGGTTGGCTGTGGGGTTTGGTTTTGGGGAAGGTGCCAGTGTGCAGGGCGGGCTTGCCATACGGGAGGACAGCAGGGCCCTTGGGTTTGGAGGCGACAGGAGGAGGCACCTTGACTGGTTTGGATGTAGACTGGAGGGAAAACAGAGAGAGACTGTCAAGTTAATTCCAAATGCATTGGAACCAGAAGCTCCCCCCATGCTCACTTCCGATTTGGAATACGGTGGCCAGGAGGTTAACTCCATTTATATATACAGTCTATGATGTAACTAATCTGTTTTCTCTGTCCAAAGAGGCTATACCAATTAGTGAAATACAACTAAACTAAACTACTTGGATGAGACAACTCCAGATGCATCTTTTTTGTAACAGAAGTCCTGTGCTCAGGTCTATGCACTGGCTTCCTGTAGCTCAGAGAAAATATCTTAAAGCAGCTCAGCTTGTGTACAAGTCGCTCTATGGTCTTACACAAAAGTACATCTGTGACATCTTAGTGCCATATGAACCATCTCGCACTCTGAGAACCTCAGGGACAGACCTCCTGCTGGTGCCCAGAGAATGGACTAAACACGGGGAGTGAGCATTTCAGGTTTATGCAGCTAAAACCTGGAACAGTCTTCCTGAAGATGTGAGACAGACTCTTCTGTGACTCTGTTTAAATCCAGGCTCTAAACAATTCTGTTTAACTGTGCATATGACTGAAAGGTTTTCATTCTGCACTCTTCTCTCTCATTTAATGTATCTCACCGTTTTTAATTTCTTGATGATTATTAATGTTTTGATTTGTTTGTGTTGTGATTTTAATATATTTCTGTAATTACTTTGAATTACTTTGTGTATGAATTGTGCTATGCAAATAAACTTGCCTTGCCATTTTTTGCTATAGAAGTTCATTTTTTTTAAACTCTTCTGTTATCATGATAAACACAAAAAAACTGTCTCACCTGTGCATCTCGTACCAGGTCGTCACTGCTCTGGTTCTTGCGGAGGGCGTTGGGAGGGAAGTCTGTGGGCTCGAACATGGAGGATGGACGTGCCTTTTTGTCCCTCTTCAGCTCATCATCTAAACAGAGCGGGATGGGTCAGCTTACTTTCACATGATAAACACCACACACACATATGTTTTCGATAAATTTGTGAATGTGCTCTAAATAAAATAGTGTCCATTACCTTGTTCTGCTGTGGAGTTGCTGTGGGAGGGCATCCGGGGCAATGTGGATGAGGAGCCATGACTGCTGATAGAGTTGGAATCAGGGCCAGAGGGACTCCACTCTCCCAGCTTCGACGATCCTGTAACGAAAAGAAAACATTTAAGTTGAACTCTCACAAACCATTATATCAATTTAAATTTGTTATTATAAAAAATAGGCAATAATATTTTTCCGGGTGTTATATTTTGTTTTTATGTGAAAATTGGGAACATTTTCTGAGACAGGAAATTCATCTGTATGGCAGTAAATTATTTTATAATGGCCAGAGGTGGATGGGACTCAGTTACATTTACTTGAGTAACTTTGTCCTGAAATTGTCCTTTCCAGAATAATTTTCAGACACCATAATTCTGCTCTTACTTGAGTAAAAGTTTTGGTTCCCACTGTGAGTAAGCTGAACATTTGTACATTAGAGTTTCTTGCACCGTGCATCATTTAATATTTTGTCCTTCAAATGACATTAACTTCAAATTCTAAATCAGTTACAGTGAGTCTTCTTTGAGCAGTAGTTTTTCCAAATACGTTTTAATTCTTAAGTTTCAATTATTCCACTATTTTGTACTACTACTCTACCCACCTCTTATAATTCCTCATAATAGCATAAAGTGTGACTCTTCAAACTCATAATTTATTATTCAAGATATTTTAAGAAAATTACCAAAAGACACAAGTTAAACTGAATTCTATTTAAAAAACTAAAAATCTAAATCTTCGAAAAAGCCTACAATTCTCACACATTTAAAACAAGTGAAAATTCAACTCCATAAAAACAAACCATAAAGGTATCTTATATTTTTGTTTTAATTTAAATAAAGATTAAATCCAGATCAAACACTGCACACGCAAACTTAACCATGTACCTTTTCTCTTAGCCCGTAGTTCTTTCAGAGGCTTAAGCAAAATCATGGCCTCTGATGGAGATGCGTTTGAGAAAAAATATAACGACAGCAACTTCAAAAACAAGCTTCTATTTGGTCCTCACAGGCACCCATTCAAATGCAACTTTTTCAGCTTTTAGAATGAAAACTGGTTTCTCTCTCTCCATATTCTATACTAAGAGCTATCTAAGCATGCAGATGAAATAGTTTAATATGCCAGCACAACAAATTTGCTCTGAGCTTACTAAATTTAATATAGAACTTTTACATTTTTGTTTAGCTGCAGTATAAAAGGGGAAGACTAATTGAGCTGACAAGGACACAAGAATATAAATCACAAGCTTCCTAAATTACTTCATAGCAAAATGGTGGGAAAAAAACACTCACAGCAAAAAGAGGAGAAATAAAAAGTAATATAGAATTTAGTAAAACAGCACAGCATCCAGGAAGTAGACCACACCAAACCACAGCTACCTTCTGAGCTCAGGGTCACGTCACATTCAGAGGGACCACATTTCTCTGATGCAACACAACGAAGACAATATAATGGTTTAGTTTTGTTTTGTTTTTTTGGTGGAATAAGAATACTACAACATTACTTAAACATTTTAAATTGATGTGAGTAGTTATGATAGCTTTTTATGCCCTCTTTATATGACTTAAAAATGTTTAGTAGGTTTTGATTCTTCAAGTAAATTTTAAGTGGCTATTGAGTAATAATTTGGTTATTTATTTCAATTCCTAACTCAAATCTGCATCTTACAGACTGGCAAATCTAACATTTTGAAAAATCATTAATGTCAATTATTATGATAAATGAACTGAACTGACTGACTAATATTGTTTACCCATTGGAAATATGTCTGGGATTGGATTGTTAATGTGAGTGGCTTTGCATCTCCACAAACATTTATTTGACATGGAGGACAGCTGACTCCTGCTTGTTTCCATGGAAATGTTGTTCCTTGGGTTATAAGATACCACAGTATAGAATCAAACAGATTTTTATTTAGAAAAAGTTGTCAAGTATGGTTTTAATTCTATTTCCATGAGAATCATGCAGGAATTGTACCACCTCCAGAAAGTTATGTACTGTACCTTTAAAATAAAAAAAATATATATAATTATATAAAAATGACTAAAAATTGTAAGAGAACTAAGTTAAGGTTGATTTGATTCTAAATTGTAGTTATCCTGACCAAATTAAATGTTGTGTAAATAAACCTACTTGACCATCTGTTTGTGTAGTAATTTCCTCTGTGTGAGTCTCACCAGTGCCAGCCTTGCCCTGCAGGTCGTGTGTGGGCAGCGTTGCCGTGCCGTCAGGGTAGGCGGGCTTCACCAGCAGCTCGCTCCTGGAGGGTCCCCGGGGCATCGTGGATGACTGGATATAAGGCCCCACAGCAGCCACGCGAGAGGGGCCAGACTGGGGCACACTTTGGCCTTCAGAGGGCGACTGAGCACAGGGAGAGAGGGTGTGGGTTAGAGGCTTCAGGGTATTATAAAGTAAGGTATGTTGTCAAGAAGAGTTCATCATTATTAATAATACATGAATACATGAATACAAAAAAAGGCAATGGAAAAACAGCACCAATACATTTAATTTAATAATGTTTCAATAAAACATTATTGTTTTTTGGTGTGGTATTTTTTGATGGTTTTGTCACTCCAGAGAGACTGATGGCCAATAAGATCTGCCGATATTTTTGGGCTGATATGTAGGCTGGATTTTGGCCACTTTCTGAGCTGTGTAGTCATGTTTTGTGCAGTTATTTCTTTGCACTTAAGTGTTCAAATGCATATTCTCTAGGCAGTAGGTAGGCCAAAACTAAATACTAAGATTTAATGCTGATAGTTGATTCAATACAAAGTGGAAATATCAGTCTCTCTTTACGATGAACACAAGGGATGTAAAATTGACAACCAAATTGAGATTTAGCCTTTAATCACTCATTTCAAATGATCAAAATAAATGTGTTTCTAGCACATTACTGTAACATCACAAATGACCAAATGAATCCAGAATTGAACTTTGACCTGAAAAATCAGACCACCAGACAATGAAATATGTCATCTTTATAAAAAAGTAACAGCAATTTTCTGTATAAATCCCTGTAGCAATAGTACTCGTTCTATAGTTTGTATATGTAGATTTTTTAGTTTTACTCCCAAATGTCTAGCAAGCCCTTTCTCTCTTTTCACTCATTACACCACAACTGAATTTGAAAAGTAAACATATGGCACCGTCAACAATAAAATAACACCAAGCAGTAAACCAGACTGCGCACATATATTACAATAAAATAAATAAATGAGACTGAAATCTGTACAGTCCAGTCCTGTTTAGTTACCTGCAGATGAGAGTCTTTTGCTGCCCTCTCTCTACCAGGAAAGCCATTCTTAAAGACAAAGAAGCACAATATGCAAAAGCAGTTCAAAATTTACCCAGAATTCCTTTGTCCTCTCCTCCCATCTTAACAACAGCTTAATTTACAAGTTAATTCAGAAGTTTCCAGAGTATTTTGAACCCTCTCCTCTCCAGTGGTAGTTGATATTTGATTGGTGGAGCTCAAATGGCTTGTGTCTTTGTTCCCATTTGAAAAAGAGTCCCTCATTATAATTCAAGAGAGGTTATGGTTAGATCACCTTCTTAAACAATGTCTATAGCCAGAGGTGGGCAGTACTCATTTATATTTACTTGACTTACTTTGTAAAGAAATAGTACTTTTCAGAGTACTTTTCTAGCAGCATACTTTTACCCCTACTCAAATGATTATTAGTTTGAATTAAAAGTTGTGGTCACTCTTCCCACGGTCAGTAAGTCTACAAGTGACAAAAGCTTTATGTTGACAGTATGAAATGATTTGAACATTTGTGTTTCTTGCAATGCTCCTTCAGATATGATTTAGTTTTTCTCATTTGTGTCTTTATCCTTTGAAAATACCAGATTCAGTGCATTATTTAAAGGTTCTAGATTACACAAAATTGACTCTAGTGAGGTTTAAGTCATCTTATAATCTTGTTGCCTCCTCGAAAATATACCTGGAGTTGTGTTTTGTTTTATTCATATTTTCATTCATATTTGAATAATCCTTTATTATTAGTTTGTCTGAATCTCCAAAGATCAAGATGCTCTGTTCCACCTCGTGATGTCATGTAGTGGTTAACAGTAATCTTTTACATTTTATTCTGTAAAAATTGTAAATTTATTTATTTGTTATAAAATTTCAGAGCTGACATTATATTATACTTAGGGACTGTTTACTTGTGGGTAAAAACTACCAAATATTTTATCGTAAGTGCCTTTCATTTAGACGGTAACAGTGTTTTTGGGGCTTAAAAATGCAAAAATCTGAAACCACCCTCTCTAGTGGAAAAGTTGAATACACTCTCTTGTAGTGTTTCAGTCTACACTGCCCAAGACACAAAACACTGGTCAGATCTGATCCCGTCACATACGCATTTACATCACAAAACTTACGTCAAGAACTCTGTCTATATATGCAGGATTTGTGTGTTAAACAAGTGTGAATAAAACAAAACACAACTCCAGGTATGTTTGTAATGAGGAAACAACATTTTAACAGATCAGAAAAAAGTGTAATGGGCCCTTTAAGTAGCAGTTAATAATATTATTCTGAAGCAATGTTACTCTTACATCAGTACAATTTCCAGTTACTCTACCACGTCTGCCTGAGCACACGAGTATACACAAGCAGGCACACGCACACTTTTCTAACCTTTGTGCAAATGCCAAGAGCACTAACTGCTTTAATGTTGGATTACGGAGCAGTTTGTTTATCTTCGAGTCTTTGAAGGACATGTAAACTGTGCTTCAGAGAACAGATATTATTTATGCATAAACTTGAAGGCTTAAGACTTAAGAGCATGTTTGCTTATTAAACACTGTTCACAGAATGTAATATTTGAGGGATAAACAACAAAGGAGGAAAAATAAACTGGTAATGTAAAAAAGTAGGAACATTTTGTATTGTGTTTAAAGACACGTTTGCCTACAAGAACAATAAAGTGTATTTTGACCAGATTGTAAGAGATAATATTTGACTTTTACCACATTGTTTTCATAATAAGCTTCTGAATGACAAACCCTAAAATTACAAAGGTTGAAATTGGAAAAAATGTTTCTCAATGTGTGTTCTATGGTGAATTAAATAATAAAACACAAAATATAAAATAAAAAATATCTATCTATAAATATTATTATTATTTTATATTATTTTAAGTTTGTATTAGTTGCTTGCTTATAGTTGTAAAAGTATCTCATGAAAATGATATTTGGATTCAGGGAAGGCTGATATTGAACCAGAAGAGAATTTTATTTATTTATTTATTTATTTTTTAAACCAATTTAAGAATTAGTTAGCACCAAAATATACTTAAGCTACAAAGTGATTATTGACTCGTGGCTAAAAGGGAGAGCATTTTTTTTCCCTGCCAAGGCAATTTTTTACTGTATTAATTTTTGTGTAAAGCCTTTGTGAATAATTAGTAGAATATTAATTTAGTAAAAGATGGAAAGTTAATATCAAATTCTATGAAAACACCTTCATTATTTTTCCAAGAAAGTGACATAATTTGAGTTTCACCTTTGTCCACTGTCCTCTCAGTCTCATTTAAACCAATTAAAGGGCCTATATTATACAAATTCTGATCTATGTTACAATGTTGCTTCCTTATCAAAAACATACTTGGAGTCATCTACTACAGAGAGAGTCCTACTGGATCTACACTAGATTAGTTAGGATCTACACTAGTTAGATTTCTCCCCCTTCCTTTAAAACTACAAGCTTTAAATGTGCAGTCAGTTATTGTTTTACATCTTTGTCTCCATGAAACTGTTTAAGACTAACCCTCTAATATTTTATACAAATTATACATCTTGTATCTGTAGCAGTTTTGAATTTTTACACTAAATCTGCACTGTGAAAGCCATCTCGAGTTTGTCCCGATGAAGGCTGAAAAGCCGAAACACGTTGGTGTGATTTTAACTTTATCTGCCATGTGATATTAAAGGCTTTTAATTATGGTGTACTTTTTGAGTGCCTCAGTTTTTTCAACTTTATACTTGGAGTTGTGTTTTGTTTCATTTACTCATATTTTAAAACCCAAATCCCGCTTATTTAGGCTGAATTCTTGTCTCAAACTGAAAATACTTAGTTCCACCTTGTGATGTCATGTAGTAATACAAAAAGTGTGTTTTTAAACTCCATACACCTTCACTGGAATCATTTACATGATTTCAGTCCTGGAAGTGACTATTCTCTTATTAATTAAAAGTAAAATGTAGCTGTTACCTTGAAAACTACTACTATAAGGTGGAATAGAGGATTTTGAGCTTCGGAAATGCAGACAGACTAATAATAAAGAATTACTCAAACATGCGTGAATGAAACAAAACACAACTCCAAGCATGTTTTTGATGTGGTAACAGCATTATAATCTGCCTAACAGCTCAAAAGAGTCAATTTTGTGTCATATAGGACCTTTAATGACGAAGCAATTTTGTATTCTGAGGAACAGTGGACATGCTAAACCCCTGTAGAATCTACCACTGGCTTATACTAGTCCCATTCAAACACCTTAAAAGAAGAGAGGGAGGTAAATGGGGTAAAAATCTAAAGTGATAAATAGCTCTCATTAATTATTGCCACAAAAGACAAATTCGTTTTTAGCAGCTGCCTTGGTTCAGTTGGAGAAAGTAGAATATCTGTCTTTCTCTTCTCTTCTGTTCCCTGACAAGCCTAACAGATAATATCTCCCCTGGAATTCCTCCTGTCAGCAGCGGCCGCCATTGCTTCTCTCTCATCTCCAGCTGTTTTTTAGTCAAATGGAACTAGAATACAGAGTGAGTGATAGTGGAGGAAGCATTTTGAAAGGGATTGTGCGAAGATTTCAAAACAAGATCCAAACCCCACCAGATACGTGAAGAAAAGGAGAAGGTTTAAGGGTTCTCCAAGATAAAACGTTTTTAAATCTTACGTTGGTGTGTGGGGGATCTGTGCTGAAGCGCTTCTGAGGCTTAGAGGGGGTAAGGAGATAAACAACAAGTTTCAGAGGGCAGCCACCAGAGGGAGCCATTTTAAAAGATCTGCTAACGGCACATCAAGACAGTCTCGAAAAAAGTGAGGGGTTTCTAAACATTCTATTTTTAGGGTTTTGTGGATGAGACCTTTTCAAAAATCCACAAAAATTACAAAACAAATAGTATATAAGCGATAATCAAAAACTACATATCATTTGACTATCTTAAAAGGTGCACTAAGTAACTTTATTGGTTGGGGGTCCGTCACCTGCTTGTTTCCATGGATATGTCACTTGCTCTGCCTGGAATGTTCCACAGTATGACATTAAACAATTCTACCTTACATTTCTTCAATTACAGGTGGTTTTATAGCTTAAAAATACCTAAATTCTGACCGTAAGCAGCGTCGCCTCTCCACAGATCTAACCTGTAACCTAGTCTGATTTGGTCTCCATGAAGATAGAAAGGTTTAATGCCCCACTGTGAAACATTTCAAGCAAATCAATAACATCTCCATGGAAAAAAGCATCTGACGGACAATCCACCAGAAAAGTTACACAGTGCACCTTTAATTTCTTTAACAACTGGGTAAAGAATTATTAGAAATTTCAAGGATGTTCACCCAAAATGTCACTTATTCAACTTATTTAATAATCCAAACTAATTTTTCAATGAAATATTTAGCAAAAAAATATGTAAATGGATCTATATTTTGTATTTTTGTACCCTCTTTTTTATTTTTACAGTTGGTTTTGGGTTCAGTGTGTACATATTGTATTGTGTTGTGTTGCTTACAGGTAGATTCTCCTTCTGTTGTAGCGCAGCCTTCTTCTTGTACAGTCTGTCCCTGAGCTCAGTGATCCTCTTGTCCATCGCTGCCACCTCCTGGTTTCGTTTGTTCAGATTCTCCCTTTGCTGCTGCAGCTTCGAGTTCTGATCCTGGTTCAGCTTATTTCTCAACTGTGGAGAAAGAAAAAAAATGCTATGAATATGGATGGACTATATATCAGTGCCATTCTTAATAATATAATATAGTTCTCAGGCAAAATGGGTGACCTTTACGAATGGTTTTCCTGACTAGTCACCTGTATCTTGCTTGGACCTGCATGACTCTACTGCAATTTGAGTTTTTTGTTTGTTTTCAGGTTTGTGGAAGATGCATGTTTTTCAGTGCAATAAAAAACAAAAGCCTATATTTTAGTCTAATTCTTTGCCAAAATCTTACATACTAGGACTGAAATTTGTGGGCCTTGCTAATAGAATTGATATTGTTATTGACATATTATAGATATTAATTACTGTCCGCAACAGCCAAATAACAGATATCATAAGAGCTGAAAAAGAAGCAGCCCTGGGTCACCTGCAGCTCCTTGTACAGGCGGTCAAGTTCGGCCACAGATGACTGGTTGTCATGGAAACCCTCCATCTTGCCACTTTTGAGGAGCTCCAGCTGCCGGCTCAGCTCCTCCACCTTTGATGCGGCCAGAACAAGCTCCCTTTGCTTCTGCTGGAAAAGACTGTTCATCTGCTCGATCTCCTCCACTGGAACACGCAGACAACAGGGAAGTCAGGGGATGTTAAAGGCACACGACATAATGTTCCACAGTAGGGCATTAAAGGTCCCATATTACTCTATTTTCTGATCTATGTTACAGTGTTTCCTCATCACAAACACAAGCAGACAGACTAAAAATAAAGGCTTACTCAAACATCTCTGGGTACATTTTTGATGAGGAAACAACATTATAACATGACTTAAAGTTCACAAGAGACAATTTTCCATAATACAAGACTTTTGTTGCTGTGGTTACCTAGCTTGCCGTTGCTCAGACGTTTCTGCTCCACCTGTCCCTTGAGCGCTCGGACCTTCTTGAGTCTGCTCTCCTGGTTCTCGATGTTGTCACGGAGACGCTGAAGCTTCTCCTGCTCTGAGGCCTGCTGCTGCTGCCTCTGCTCCTGCTGCTTCAGGAACCTCAGACGCTGCTCCTGCAAACAACACATGGGGAAGACTGTTGGATTAGACAGTATAAAGTTATAGTAGTAGTAATAGTAGTAGTTTAGAATAGTTTAGTAGTGGTAGTAATAGTTTTTGTGGTTTAGTAGTTGTTTTAGTATAGTTGTAGTACAGTTGCAGTAGTAGTGGAAGTAAGCACTAGGTAGTAATAGTTTAGAATATAGTAGTAGTTTTTGTAGTGTAGAAGTTGATTTAGTATAGATGTAGTACAGTTGTAGTAGTAATAGTAATGGTAGTAGGCAGTAGGTAGAAGTAGTTTAGAGCAGTAGTAGTAGAAGTAGTAGTCGTAGTAATAGTCGTAGTAGAAGTAGCAGTCGTAGTAGAAGTAGTAGTCGTAGTAGAAGTAGTAGTCGTAGTCGGAGTAATAGTAGTTTAGAAGTATAGTAGTGGTTGTAGTAGTTGTAATAGTAGTTTAGAATAGTAGTTGTAGTAGTAGTAGTTTGGCAGTAGTAGTTGTAATTTAAATACTTATGATTTAGGCTAATCAATGTAAAAATGTATAAAAATAAATCAAATTCAAGATAATTATAATGTTTTCTAGATTATATTTAGTATCTCCTAAATTGTAGGAAAAACTTTGTGGCTTCATAAAAAGGAGGATTTGTGGTTAGGTGTGCAATCAATCTGCTGAAATATTTGTCTCCCATTCCTGAATTTAAAAAAAATATAATAGAACAAATTAAATACAGCAAAGGTATGAGCTCATAGTCTAATAAAAGTTAGACGTTGATACTGGACGTCTGTAGCCAATGAGTTATTATAGTTTACAGTCTAAAACGCAGTACTGGCACTGGTCACGTGTACAGAATACTCCTGTCTGTTTACATGAATCTGAAGCCTGTGCACTGTATCTGACTCTTTGACATTTCCTGGCTTGTCTTAACCTGAGGCATCCCCAGCCTGTCGAGCTACACACTTACAGGAAAAGCAAAACACACTTCCAAAATCAAATGAACAAACTGACATGACATGAAGTTCTGCTCAGTGTCTTGTTATTTATTCTGTGTAAACTATAATTAAAGAAGCTATATTGTTATTTTGTCCATTGTATAGTAATAATCTTTGACACCCGTGGATCATGATGTTGTATTTTAGACATTTTAAATCACAATACAGAAAATGAGAAGAAAAAAACTAAAATGCTACAATTAAAGAATCAGGTTTGCTGCTTTCCAGGATTCTAGGCTTCCCCTTTACGTTATTTCGCCATCAAAACATTCTCTGGGCCATTATATTCAATACTGATGGAGGAAGTTACAATTAACTGTCACAAATACAAAAGATCAGGTTCAACATCTGTGCATGATGTCACTGCAAACTATCAATAGCCACAGATCACGCTAGCGAGGAGCAGATCTTTTTTTCCTTTTGTGTCAAAATGGCTTTGCGATGCTGCCACTCACCAATTAACCAAATAAAATTGGAGAACGTTCAGATCAGTGGCAGTGAAAACTGTGGTAGGTCTGAGCAATCACATCTTGAATATAGGAGAATAAAGATTACTGAAGCATGCACAAATCACTCGAAATACAACTTCGAGTGGGTAAAATTTTGAAAAGTAGGTCTCCTTTAATCACACCTGGCCTATATGTCATTCTTGCTGTCACTTGTAAATCACCACGGGGCCCTTTGGCAATGAGAACATAAAGCCAACAGAACTCCCAGGTCTCTCAAGCCCTAACACAGCACCTGACTCTACTCAAAAGCTCAACTATGCTGTCAAATTCACAAAATGATAGACAAACTCATTTTCCTTTCATCTTCTGCTTTTATTTGGACTAAAATCTCTCCAGTTTCGCTTTCATCTATCTGCAGCCTCTCTTCTGAATGGTGTACTTCACCTCACCGCATTACTGTACAGTGCTCCCTTCACCCTTTCACTGAGTCTGTACCTTAGATGCGAGCAGCTGCTGTTGGGCCTCGATCTGCTGCTGTTGTCTCGTCGCCATTTCCTGCAGCTCGGCCAAAGTCATGTCCATCCGAGGTGTGCCGACCTGGGGAGATGACATGAAAGGCTATTTAGTTTTTGTTTTTTTTTTACTTTTAATATATATTTATTTGCACTGTTTCATATAATCTTTGCACCGTTTCCTGATGATCTCTTGTATATAACTGTGATATTTGTTTTTACTTCTGTACTACTGTACATATAGATTTATATCATTTCTGTCTTATTTGACACAAGTCTTTTGCTATTTTTTTCTATTGCTACATATTTAGAAGTTTATTACAATTTGTATTTTTTTTTACTCTTTGTTATTCTATTTATTTATTTTTTTAACAAGTTATTTATTTTTTATATATTTATTTTTATAATGAATTATTTGTTTTGTTTTGTTTTTTGTTTTGTTTATTATTATTTGAAATTATGGGAACAGGAGGCACCCTTGAATTTCTTTCCTGATTTAATAAAGTTAATCTAGTTTTCTACATAATGCAAGAACTGGCCATTTTCTAATGTTGTTCTAATCACTTAAATTGCTTAATAACACACCATTAACCTTCTCTTTCCCACTAGAAGCTATTGTAAATACAGGCTCATTGCATCACCCTATAAAAATACAAAAACCTGCAATCAATTAGATACTGTATAAGTAAGAGATGTCTTAAAAACTGGATGTATAATTCAAAAAGATAACAACTCGTAGAGATTTTTGGCCCTCCTATATTAATGCAAGACACGCAGCCATTTCCTTTTAACTGCAGTTGGACTAGACTACAAGAGCTATTGAAATTCATGGATTTGTCAAGTAATCCCCATAGTCTTTGGGGGAACTAAAAGCTACAAAGTGCTCTTTACTGCATTCCAGCGACGATGTTAGACTTTAATCTTAAAAGTTGAGCCTGAGATTTGAACAAAGGACATTCTAGGAGCATCTTTCTCTTTAAAAGTTATAACATTAGAGGGACATGATAACACAAAAACAACATTATTGGATTTTTAGCCAAGTTCCAGTGTTATTTTCTCACCGGGGTTATGATTCATTCACACCTTTGACTAATCCTGCATATTTATATTTAGAATTTTGAATAAAGTACAGGAAATAGATAATCTGTCTCGACGATACCCGGTATCAACTGATACCAGGGAAGACACTGAAAATATAACTTATTTCTTTTAAACACAAACAGCATATGGTAAAAAAAAAAATATCCAAATGTGTTTTATGATTGACGTAAGTAACTAGGGAACAGCTTTGAAAACTATTACAAGGTGTTTTGGGCCAACATTCCAGTCAATCGTCTTTTACAACAATTTACAGATCAAAATGGGATATCGACTGAATTGATGATCTTGGGACCGATATCCAATCCATCAAAAATTTTAAATATCGATGCTAGATTAGCACCATATTTGATTTCCTGTAATTCTGACAACCCTAATCTGAACAGAAGCCTCCTTTTTAAATATACAGTATATTGAAAATGTATTGCAATAGTTTTTTTTTTACCTAAATTTTGCAGTTCTACAGTGGTGTACTGACGGAACCCAAGAGAAAACTTGTCAAAGTAACTGGACAACAGACTCACCCCATTCTCCATTCTTCTGTCTGGTGGACCTTTAACGCCGTTTCGTTTTGGCTCAGAGCTTCTGGAACCTCCTGAATCACGCACACAGGAAAAAGAACAAAACAAAAACCTATTACGTTTAGCAAAACACCGTTTCAACTAGCAGCTCTACTTCCCCTTTGCTCTTTGCCTGTCATGCCATAGTACAAACGGCACACACAGAGTAGCATGGCCTTTACTGTGAGCAGATTACTGGAGCATTGAAAGAAAAATCCTGGTGGTGAATGATCTAAGCTCCTCTGGGGAAACAAGGAGATCAGTGTTCTTTGTGACCTGCGGTAATCTCTGGGTTTAGACCACTACATAACTCACAATGGGGCCAGTCGTGCTGAAGTACATCTACTACTGTCACTGTGTACATAAACAGACTTCGCTCCAGGGTGTACAGGAGCTATGTGTGTGCGTGTACATCTTTGAGTGTGACAGAAAAATAGTGAAACACATATGAAGGTTGCATCTTTATACTATACATTTTATTCATCATTTTATAAATGTTATTTCAGTTAAATGTAACTCGGTGTAAAAGTATTATAAGTGTTCAGAATACAGTACTTATACGTATACTCTTAGGAGTATAAGTCGCACCAGCCAAAAAATGCGTAATGAAGAGTCGCAGTGGAGTATAAGTCACATTTTTTTGGTTAAATTGATTTTATGAAATCAGAGACCAGGAACCGACATTTCATCTTGAAAGGCAAGTTATAGTAATAACAATAGAATAAAGAACAACAGACTGCATAGGCGTCTGGCATGTTATTGTAACATATGAACAGTTCTTCAGATAACTATAGTATAAACAACAGAACAGAACAAGTTTACCAAATTCTCCATCTCACTTCAAATCACTAAATCCATTGAATCTATTGAATTTAAGTTTCTCGCTCAATCTAAACTTTCTTTCTGCATTCATTTTCTGATGCATATTTCGTTACTTGCAGCAGAACAGTGGCTTTTTCTGCAGGAGATATGCGCAGAAAACATATACAAGCCACCCTCTCATGGCTGTCAGTCTGAATAACTTAACATAAAAGTTGCACCGGAGTATAAGTCGCAGTACTCTAATTTAGTCTTTCCCAGACATTTTTTCTGGGGACCCATGTTTAAAAGTCACAAACTTCTGCGACCCAAGTTAATAAAGATTATTCATAAATCATTAGATTTTATCACTATTGAACATTAATGAGGATATTTTATTGTTGACTGAGTGATCGTGTCTCTCTAAACAATTAGTTTTACTCAAGTTTTAAACAATGAAAACCAAAAATGAACCAGCAATTAAAGGATCCATAAGTCGCCTGTTTGGACATTAAATGTAGCCCATTTCTTTTTCTTTTCAATATTCAATTGAACCAACATGTCTTAACATTTCAACATGCGTCAGAAATGTATACTGCAGACATACATGCAGATCGTGACAAGGTGATCCCCCCCCAAAAAATCTCTTGCGACCCACCTGAGAGTCGCGACCCAGAGTCTTATTTAGGAAACAATGCTCTAATTGGTCCATGTATCAGAAAATGTTACAATATATATTTTACAGCAGGTATTCCATAATCTGTAACTAAATACATTTTCAAAGTATTCTTCCATCAATGCGAGTGTGTTTGTGTGGTTGTATATGTGTGTGTGGTTGGGGGGTAAACAATCTATATGAGTAAAGCCGGGCCAATAACTAAAGCCTGTGAACTTACATAATAGTTTTACATGCCCTTTGACATGCACAATACAGTATATTCTCTGTGTTTGCTGGTATTGTGAAACAGGAGCTGAGAAGAAACTGAAATAGGATTGTTCTAGGAATTCATCTTTTTCTGCCTTTTGTATTTGATGTTTATGTGTTTTTGTCTTCTTTTTTTTGTAATTGTAGTTGTGCTTCCAGTTCTAGTCATAGCATGTTATTTTCGTAAAGTGTCTTGCTCAAGGACACAATGATAAGATTAGATATGAAAAGGTATTCTCTGGCTGACTGCTTAAAAGTGCCTGTACCTGATTTGATGAGTAAGGAGCATGTTTTTGTTTGAATTTTTAGCCACGCCCACAGTCTTTCGAATGTTGTGATATTGCACCATCACACAGAAACTACGCACTTGGATCCAGAGCTGTTTCTAGACATTAGGCAACACGGGGCAAGAGGAGGTCTGGGGGCTCCTTACAAGAAAAATCTGACAAATGCTCATTTCGTACTTTGACACTGATTAATAATAAGAAGAAAACATGTATTTTTTTCTTTGTATTAAATTCCCCAATACAATGCGTGACACAAAGAGTATTATCTGGACTACAAAAAACTTAAATCAGGTACCAACACGGTAATTTTTCATATCAAATCATGTTTTATATGGAATACATTGAGAGAACAACTCACCATATTAAATGAATGTACTCACAATAACCAAGCTATAACCTCAAATTATTAAATTACCTGTTTCTACCTCGCACAAATTCACTTCAGAACATCAAAGCACAGCAAAGCCACCATAAGACAGAACAGGATATAGACGAAAATGAAAATCTTAGTTCAAAAAGAGCAAACTCAGCTAATAAACAGTGTGGGAAAACAAGACGTGGCTGAGATAACAGGAAGGGAAAACAGACCTGTAATCCCTGAGCCAGACTCATGCTGTGAGGGGCAGTGGAGCAGTTATGTAAGACCAGTCTGAGAGAGAGGCTCTGCTTACCTCCACAATGCTCTACAATGCTCTACAATGCTCTACAATGCTCTACAATGCTCTACAATACTCTACAATACTCTACAATACTCTACAATACTCTACAATACTCTACAATACTCTACAATACTCTATATTGTGTTTACAAACTGATTATGCCTGTGCTCTCTGTCTACATCAAATTATAAAGCATTTGTATCGTCTGCAATCTAAGATGTAATGCTGGTGCGCCATTAGCATGCTAGTTGTGCATTACTGTGTTAACGCAACTTTCAAAACCACCAAAATGATGATTAGATCTGGATTATAGATTTTTAATGTTCTTAAACCCATAAAAATCAGATACATGTTTCTAAATACACTGATACTTGTCAGGTTAGCCCATGTAATATATATGTTTCACCATGTTTGTAATATTATCGAACATATTTATCAATGTACATATTGTAAGCTAAGTATTGTATCGTATCTGAGGTATCCTGTGATTTCCAGCCACCTTGTAAATCAATATAATGGGACAATTTTTTTTATCAAATCCTGTTATCAAAAATAATAAAATAAACAGTTTTATGGCTGCATAAGTATTATTTTGAAACACAGAACATTTAAATCAGATATTGTAGTTTTCAACATAGTTAACCTATTTCAAGTGTGAAATCTACTAGTTACAAAAACAGAAATAAGTAGTGGTGTTTTTTTTTGTTTTTCAAAGCTAACAAATAAAGTCATTAACAGGTTTAGTTAAATGAGCTGTTGTGTCTGTGTGTACACTGTGAGACTTCAGGCATCTCAGGACTTTAGCACACGGGTGTCAGATGTCTTTTCTCAAGGGACAGGAACAGCCAGAGACCTGCCACGTGACTTCTGTGTGACTTCTGTGTGTGGTTCATGTGTTTGTGGAGAGGACACAGCACAAACTCACCTGAGTCTCGGCTTGGGGCCCGGTTGTGGCGTAGGAAGAATCTGACTTCAGCTCGATGCTGCCCCCATCTCTGCAGCACATCCAGCATCCTTTCTCCATCTCCCACCGAGCGCTCTGTCATAAAACAAAACTAAATATTCACACGCTGTAGATTTTAGGGATGGGACAAGATCTGCCACAAAAATGATCTTTTGAGATTCTTTTTTTCATACTTTTACATTTGGCTTGGACAAAAAAGTTAAAGGGGGTTAAGTGCATTTCAATATGACAAAAATATATAACATTTAATCTAATTAATTAAAGTTAAAATATATAAATAAAAAGAAAAGATAAAAAAAATACAAATTAAAAAAAAGGTCTTGTTCTCGTGGAACCAGTCTCGTGTTGTGTGGTCATGAAAATTCCATCTCTCTCATACTGTATACAACCACAAGCACTGGACTGACGAGGAGCAGAGGAAATACAGACTGCGGTGTAGCCCTGACACTTCCTGACCATAGAAGAAGAAGAAGAGTGAGTTTATGATCTGCAGCTGTCAGAGGAACCTGGGGAACGCTTCTGTGATCTGCTGTCAATTACTAAATCTATTTCTGAGCCAAAAGTGCATTATTCACTCCTCACAAAAGTCTTCACTGCACTTAAAGTGATTTCAGTGTGTTAATGCAATGAAAAATCACAGCCAATTAGGATGCAGTCATAACGCTGGGTCATATCATGTTTTATTTTGCCTCGTATTGATTTTCAATTTTTTTTATCACCTTATAAAAAACAAATTCAATATTCATTTCCTTGACATAAACAAGACAGACATCTAATCAACGTGGTACATAAAAGGGCAGAGGGCTGGCTGTCAAACAACTCAGTGATTTGATTTGTCTGATTTGAATTTATTCTTGTCAAGAATGCTCTTAACATTATGTAATGTATGGTGAAAACTGCTATCTAATAAAAAAAAGTAAGATTGTAACATATTATCTATTCATTTTACATTACAGTAGTTTTTATTTCCTTTGAAAATACATAGAGACACTAGTCCTAAACCACAGACTGCATAAATGGACCTAGCTAACCCAGCTAGCTCCCAAATAGGAAGTGAGCATGGGCGTGTTTCAGGCTCCATTGAATCTGGCTCCAGTTCACTTTGTATTGAGAAAACCCCTCTCTTTGGAACTGCTGCAGTGAGCCTTGTCTTTTTGCTCTTAAAACTTTTGTATTAACCCGCTCTACATGAACCTGGGGTTTTTATTTTGCCGTTTTGTCCATAAACAATTCCTATTCCTAACATGGAACTCTGCTATTGATACTTCGCAGCTGATGTCATTAACATTCCTCGGTGTGAAGCTAACTGCAAGCACTACTCCGTTAGAAGGTCTGTTACTCAACTAAGACTTAATCTGAGCTTCATACTAACACAATCTGACAGAAACTTGGAACTACATCAGGTGAGATGATTTGTACGCTTAATCAAGTCTCTCACACATAAAATGAACGTCATAAGCTAGCGAGTTGTTTTTCAGTTAGTTACTCACCTTTTTTGTTGAAAATTTCCTGAACTCCTAAATAGGACCCTGAGTGCTTGTATTGATCACAACATTCTCAAAATGTGTTGTTTATATCCATTTTGCATTCTGTTCTGCTAAACTCGTGAGCTTCATTTGACTGGAGCAGGACACTATGGATGACGTCACACTTCTTTACACCATCTATGACCTGAGCACAGTGTGAATGCAGTGCTCTATGGTGGTGGAGGACAGATGGGTACAGCCAGTTGGCTCTAAACCTTATGAGCCTCGTCAGGAGTGAGCGGGCTCCTTTTAGGACACTTGAGGAAGTACTCCAGCACAATAATTGGCACTTTCCCCAGCTTATGGCACCATCTCCATGGCAACGGCTGCAAAACCATGCCACTTGAGTCAGATTGTGATTATGTACCAACTCTTCATCATGGCAGAAAGAGAAGCCAAAACCCTCCTGTGACCTCAGGGAAACATGTCTCAGTATCTGTTTAGTATGGGGATTACAGACTTGCCTCATTTAGATGCAGAACAGCTTTTAAAGGCAAGCACACACACGCATCCCTCACGCGTATAGACTGGTACAAACATTGTCATATCTCAATGTTACATTTGACTTATTATCAGTGTTTATTTATTATTCCCATGTGACAAGCCTTACAAAAATCCAACTTATTAAAGGCCATATATTACGCTATTTTCTGATCTGTGTTATACTATTGTTTCCTCATCACAAACATACCTGGAATTGTGTTTTGTTTTAATTCACACGTTTAAACACACAAATCCTGCATATTTAGGATAAGTTCTCTTTCAAACTGTTCCACTCTGTTGTGATGTTATGTGGTAATACAAGTGCTCTACTGTGTTTTTAAACTCCATACACCTTCAGTAGAATCATTTGGATGATTTAAGGCCTTAGAATTGCCAGTTTCTACTGAACTAAAAGGTAAAATGTAGCTTGAAAACTACCACTTCGTGACATCACAAAGTGGAACAGAGCATTTACAGCTTTAGAGATGTAGACAAATTAATAAACCAGGATTATTCAAACATGTGCAAAGGAAACAAAACACAATTCTGGGGATGTTTTTGAGGAGGTGACAACATTATAACATGGCTAAAACCTCCCAAGAGTCAATTTTGTGTAATACAGGATCTTTAAAGTTAATATGACATAAACAAAATGACACAAAATGACACTTAATATTTAAATGTACTATTTTTGGAGTACAGATTGATTTTACTTTTTAGATTAGATATTATTGAGATCCACTTTGCCTAGTATAAATGTGGTGTGTGAGAGTTGGTGGTTGTCTGAGTGACCAATGGCACAGATCCACAGCTTCACTTCTGTCAGTCTAGACCAGGGCATTTATGGCTACTGAAAAATCTTACATAAGACTAATGCATTTTTGCCTTTATTATTGTGTTAATCTCCAGATGTCTTTGAGGTGTGTGATCTTGTGTGATATTTGACAGACTCACCAGATCCTCTCCACACTTCGGCCAGGTGACAGTCCATCTCTCCCGGCTCTTTGCACAGCTCCACCACATCGCGGCACAGCGTCTCCGGGGTAACGGGGACCTCAGTGAAGTGCTGGTCATTGTTACTGAGGTACACGGTCAGGAACATCTGCGGACAGAGGAGAGTGTTTACGATACTTGATTCGATGCAAAGGAATAGACTCAATACAATACCGATTCCAACACCAAGATGATAATAAAAAACACAATTTCTTTAGACCATAGAGTGCCATTTTCAACACTAAATCATCATACACTACTTTCTTTTACAATCCCATGTGGTCTTATATCCATGTAATTCCTCAGTGGTCCAGGTAGGTTCCATAGTGGTCCATGGGCGTATACTAGTCTATGTTCTCTTATACTTGTTCTGATACAGCTCAAAATCATTCTAAAGCTCTTCAGGAAAGATTCATTTCTGTCCTGTGAATATGACTTTTTTGTGTTTTCATAGGAATAAAAAAAAGGGAAAAAAAAGAGAAACAAGTTTACTCCTGACTTTCTTACTTGCAAAGCAAGGTTAATGTGCAATTACAATTCGATATCTGTACAAATGTAGCTTTTAAGGTGGTTTAGTAAATGTAAAGAGCTTCGCCTGTTTGAAATCAGCTCTGACGTTGATTAAAATGAATTAAAATTGTAATCTGTGTGTGCAAAAAAAGCCCAAATTGATACCTGTTCAAATGAGTATCTAGTCCAGATATCAGTTTTAGCATCGATTAGGATCTGATTTTTCAAAACAGAGAGACTGAGAGACACTTGGAGAGAATATGAAAGACTGCAAGAGACCGAGAGAGAGGTCAGACAGTCAGAGGAAGTGAAGGAACGCTGTAATTGCGTGTAATCACAGGTTTCTCATTTCCCTGTGTTTGTGTATGAGCCTCAGTGATAACAGCATCATGTCCCTGTCCTCATTCCTCTCTGTCGTCACAGTAATCAGACGCCTGCTTCCAGAATGACATTTCAGCTCAGGCCGGCACTATGCTAACTGCTAACTGCTGCTGTCAACACATCGAGAGCCGCAGCTCGCAGCCCACTGACACACCAGAGACCGAGAAGACTGGCAGATGGTCCACACTGGTTTAAGCTGACAGGAAAACTGGAACACAGCAAAAAAGCGCTCCAGTCCAATGCAAAGAAAAAACGAACTAGAAGCATTTGGTGTCTAAATTTAGAAGCAGCACTTTGTAGAACCATTTAGAGACTTTTCTTTGTTGTTAAAAGGTTTGCAGTTAGTCCTCGCTTTTGTAACACATTCCTAGTTTCCTAATTATTCACAATTTTCAGAAACCAGAGCAGATTTGCCATCGCAGTAATGTTAACAACAACTAGCATTCAAACTGCAGACTTCCTGGTTCACGAACGAAAAAAAGTTATAATTAGATGTAGACTGCACACAGCTGTCTTATTTAGACATTAAGAGCTGCTTTTACAATAGCTAAATAATTATTCACAACTATCAAAAGGTCAGAGTGGAGTTCATAGTCATGCTAACTGCGCACTTCTTGGTTCGTGGTCGATAAAAGATTGATAATTAGATGTAGACTGCAGAGAGTTGTCTTATTTTAACCTTAAGAGCTGTTTTTTGCAGTAGCTTCCTAATTATTCACAACTTTCAGAGGCCAGAGCAGAGTTTTGCCTTCACAGTATGCTAACAACAACAACTAGCATTCTAACTGCGCACTTCCTGGTTCGTCATCGATAAAAGCTTTATAGTTAAAAGTAGACTGCACAGAGCTGTCTTATTTTAACCTTAAGAGGTGTTTTTTACCATAGCTTCCAAATTATTCACAACTTTCAGAGGCCAGAGCAGCAGCTAAGAACTAGCATGCAAACTGCACACTTCCTGGTTCGTCGTCAATAAAAGCTTTATAGTTAAAAGTAGATGGCACAGAGCTGTCTTATTTTAACCTTAAGAGATATTTTTTACAATAGCTTCCTAATTATTCACAACTTTCAGAGGCCAGAGCAGCAGCTAAGAACTAGCATGCAAACTGCACACTTTCTGGTTCACAAATGCTAAAAAAAAGTTATAATAATTAGATGTAGACTGCGCACAGCTGTCTTATTTAGACATTAAGAGCTGCTTTTACAATAGCTAATTATTTACAACTATCAAAAGGTCAGAGAGAAGTTCGTGGTAATGCTAATGACAACAGCTAGCATTCTAACTGCGCACTCTTTGGTTCACGGATGATAAAACACTTGATAATAAGATGTAGATGCATACAACTGTCTTTTTGCTGACCTTAAGAAATACATTTACAATATATCTATACTGGGGCAAAAACGACAACATTTAACTGAATTACATAAGGGTCCATTAATAACACGTGAATACAGGCTTGCCTATAGGTCTTAGAAAAGCGCAGTATTTGCATTTTCATGTCTTCAGATAGTGACGCATGGTTTGAGAATCAGACCTGCTCTAAACTGAACTCCCTGAAGACAAAACAACATTTAGCTGTAGCACCTTGAGAGTAAAAGGTCACCCTTCATTACAGCTGCAGCACAAACTCCACAAACAGCACCAAGATGGATGCCGCAGTTATCTTATACATCTGGATACGTTTTCACACAACAAAAACTTTCTAGACTGCTTGGATTTCCTTTGTGATAAATAAAACAAAGTAGGGCTGAACGATTTGGGGAGAATATCTAATAGCTATTTTTCACACAAGCATTGCAACTGTTATAAGAATTGTTGGTAATAAAGAAAGTGCTCCACTGTGTTTTTAAACTCCATACACTTTCACTACAATCATTTGGATCATTTCAATTCTAGAATTGCCAATCTTTATTGAACAAAAGTTAAAAGGTTGCAATTAATTTGAAAACTACTGCTTCATGACATCACAAGGTGCAACAGAGCATTTTGAGCTTTGGAGATGCAGACAGACTAACAATAAATAATTACTCAAACTAGGGATGGGTATGATTAGTCAAATAATTGATAATTGATCGTTAAGAAGTTTGTCGATCACATTCATTTTTAAATCGAAAAACTGAATGTGGGTTGCTTTGCGTAACGTAAGGAGACGAGGCCATACCACTCAATAAGTGTGTTTACTGCACATCAGTTTCCCAGTTATGATCGGGTTTTTTAAGTATCCCTGTTTCGTCATGGTGCATGTAAACGCAGTATCCCTGTTAGAGCAACAGTTAAGTGCGCATACATCCAAAAGACAAACACTTTTCAGTCTTTTCATCACAACAGTAGCGAAAATAAATAAGTGACCAACATAAATAAAGTGAGTGAAATGCCTGTTAAATAAAGAGCTGTGCTAAACCTGCACACGTCTGATCTCTGAAAACATGAACCATCTCCAGTGCGATATACACACAGAACAGACTCACCATCATAATCATCAACATCGCTCTGTCACAGAGAGAACACTCATATTCCACTGAGTTGACAAAAGCTCATTAAAAGCACATCAGCGCACAAGGAAAGAGCTGTCCTTTTCCACTGTTTACAGTTTATACAAATGGTGGTGGTTTTAAGTTTAACTTCTGTGAGACGTAAACAAATGTGTCAAAGCTGCATTAAACACATCATAATGTCAAACGGGCTGATGTGGCTCTATTGTGGTTATGGTTTATATGTTGTAAAGTTGAGTTTATTTATGCAGTAGTAATAGTAATAATAATGATTAATCGATAATCAATTGTTAATTCTCCCGACGTTTGATTAAGAAAATTTAATCGAATGTCCATCCCTAACTCAAACAAATGTGAATGAAACAAAACACCGGGTATGTTTTTGATGAGGTAACATTATAATATGGCTTAAAGCTCACAAGAGTAAAGTTTTCTTTCAGTTTTATAAAGTTTGCTTATGGCATAGGGACTAGAAGCATCTACTCTACTTTAATACACAAGTAAGTCATTTATCTCCAAAACAAAATTACCTTTCACTTTGGTGTGATTCCAAAAGCCTAAGTAGATGAAGCTAACAATCATCTTTTTGTTTGTGTTTAATGGACATTAGTTGTTCCCCTTCTTGATTTCCCCGCCGTATAATTAACTACCATCAGTAACGCTAACCGGAAGCCAACAATACCGCATTGTAAAACTCTATTGTTTGTGGATCCGCAGGTTGGACAGTCAGCGCTGTGTTTGGGGCTGGGTGCTGTGAGTGTCCGTGGCTAAAAGGGGGCCATGCTGGGAACATCAGGTCAGAGGGGTCACCAAAACAAAAGGCCCAGGGGGTGTGTATGGACACCAGCTGCCTCAAAGGACCACAGCCAATTTAGGTTATCCTATTTAAGTGTAGAGACATAAGATAACTCATGTCTTGTTTAAAATGACCTATATTAAGCTTTTCTGATCTACTGTGTATATTATAATGTCATCAAAAACATACCCGGAACTGTGTTTAGTTTCATTCACACATGTTTAACTCACAAATCCTGCTGAGTTCTTCTCTCAAATGGAAAACTGTACACTGCAAAAAAGCTTGGCTATAATTTAAGATATAAACACTTAAATCAATCAGCAAATGACTTAAAAGTAGTGAAATGCTCTGTTCATGCAGCAAGATAGTTTTACTTGACAAGTTATCTTAAAATAAATTACCTCTAGACTAGCATTAAGGAGTCTCAAAACTAGCAAGTAGATAATAAATCTGAAAAGAAGATGAATACACTGATATAAGTTTTAAAATCTTGGCCAGATCAGAGAAATTTGCAGTGTTGTTTAAACTCCATGCACCTTTACTAGAATCATTTGGATAATTCCAGCCCTAAAACTGCCAATCTTTACTAAACAAAGGGTAAAAAGGTAGTTATAAACTTAAAAACTACTGCTTCATGTCATCACAAAGGTTTGTAGAGGGTTACTCAAACTGTGTGAATGAAACAAAACACAACTCCAGGTATGTTTTTAAAGAGGTAACAGCATTATAACATGACCTAAAGTTCACAAGAGTCAGTTTTGCATAATATAAGTCCTTTAAAGTCTTAGGGAAAGAGTGGACAGGTGGTGTAGCCGGTAAGTGCAGAGAAGGCAAATGTGCTGCACCATGAGTCAGAGGAGCGTGACTCAAACCCCCCCTTTGTTTCTTTGGGATGCAAACTCAAGCTGGTCATCAGTGACTCAGCCCTGAGA